ACAGATCATCCCAGATGGTAACTGATGGTTGCTAATGGTGCCACCTTTGCATCCAGAGAAGAACTGTCATCTGCTCCTTTTCGGCACTGGTTAGAGCAAAATGGTTCTGCTCAGTGGTTACAGCAGAACCGGTGGCACAGTGAGTTTTATTTATTTATTTATTTATTTATTTATTTATTTATGTGCTTGTATACCGCTAATATCTCAGCCTAAATCGGCGACTCATTGCGGTTTACAACACTTAAAAAACAACAATATTCAGTTTAAAAGCATAAAACACATATACAATACAAATTATTGGGCCACCAATAACAATCCAATGCATCTCGTAACTGGAATCGCAATCCAAATTCATCGTCCATGGTTACCAATCCTTTAGTCATCAAAATTCGTTGCAACGGATTAACCGAATGCTTGTTCAAACATCCATGTCTTCAATCTTTTCCGAAACACCATCAGCGAGGGGGCTGATCTTACCTCTATGGGGAGGGTATTCCAAAGCCGAGGGGCCACCACAGAAAAGGCCCTGTCTCTCGTTCCCGCCAGCCGCACTTGTGAAGCTGGCGGGATAGAGAGCAGGGTCTCCCCAGAAGATCTTAGGGTCCTGGTGGGCTGATAGGCTGAGATACGTTCGGATAGATAAGTTGGGCCAGAACCGTTTAGGGCTTTAGAGTTAAAGCACTAAGATGCTGAACTTGCTTACCAAAAGGTTGCAGGTTCGAATCCGGGGAGAGGCATGAGCTCCCACGGTTAGCCCCAGCTTCTGCAACCCAGCAATTCGAAAACATGAAAATGTTAGTAGATCAATAGGTACAGGTCCGGTGGGAAGGTAACAGCACTCCATGCCATCATGCCCGCCACATGACTTTGGAGGTGTCTACGGGCAATGCCGGCTCTTCGGCTTAGAAATGGAGATGAGCACCAACCCCCAGAGTCAGACACGACTGGATTTAATGTCAGGGGAATACCTTTACTTAGAGCAGAAGAAGATGTGGTTTACCACTGTCGAGTTAATATAGTTTGACACCACTGTAAGTGCCATGGCTCAGTTCTATGGACTTGTTGTTTTACAAGGACTTCAGCCTTCTCAGCCAAAGAGTAATGGTGTTTCATCAAACTGCAAATCCAAGGGTTCCCTAGCATTGATGCATGTCAGTTAAAGGGGTGTCAAACTGCATTAAATCTATAGTATAGATGCCCCTTGCTGGGTTATGTTCAGTTTATGATCAACAATAGTCCAAGTTCTTTTCACATGTAGTATCGCTGAGCCATATATTCCCCCATCCTTTACGTTCGGTTTCTGTGGGCTAAATATAGAATTTTTTATTTGTCTTTATTTAATATCATTGTCATAATTTATTTTTAATTTTCTACTTTATCTCGATTTTTTTGAATTCTGTTCCTCTTCCAATGTGTTAGCCACTCCCCCTCCTTCTGCAAACTTGATAAGGATTTCCTTCACCCCATTACATAAGTCATCGATAAAAACGTTGAAGAGTATTGGCTGTAGAACAGAACTTTGAGAGTTACTCAAGACCTCCTCCCAGTTTGAAGTACAGCCACCTGAGCATGGTTTGCCAACCATTTATGTATTTATCTGACCAATGTTCCTGGAGTCCTCATGGACAACAAGTTAAACATGAGCCAACAGTATCATGTGGCAGCAAAAAAAGCCAATGGGATTTTGGCCTAAATAAATAGAAGTACAGTGTCTAGATCCAGGGAAGTCATGCTACTCCGCTATTCTGCCTTGGTCAGGCCACACTTGGAAAACTGTGTCCAATTCTGGGCACCTCAGTTTAAGGGAGATGTTGACAAGCTGGAATATGTCCAGAAGAGGGCAACTAAAATTATCAAGGGTCTGGAGAACAAGCCTATGAGGAGCGGCTGAAAGAGCTGAGCATGCTTAGCCTTCAGAAGAGTAGGCTGAGAGGAGACTCAATGGCCATATATAAATATGTGAGGAGAAATCATAGGGAGGAGGGAGCAAGTTTGTTTTCCCCTGGCCTGAAGACTAGGACATGGAACAATGGCTTCAAACTACAGGAAAGGAGATTCCACCTGAATATGAGGAAGAACTATCTAACTAGGAGAGCTGTTCAGCAGGGGAACTCTCTGCTCTGGAGTGTGGTGGATGCTCCTTCTTTGGAGGCTTTTATGCAGAGGCTTGATGGCCATCTGTCAGGAGTTCTTTAAATGCGATTCTCCTGCTTCTTAGCAGGAGTTGGGCTGTATGGCACACAAGGTCTCTTCCAACTCAATGATTCTATGATTCCACATTTTATCTCATTGTTTGTCAAAATATTGCGGGGGGGGGGGGGGGGGGTGCCAAATGCATTTAAACAAGATACTTTAAATAACCAGAATGGATTTCATCAAATATGAACACGTTTTCAAAAAGACTATATTGTCATACTGGAAGAGAGGTAATGTGATATTAACATGTTATTTAAGTGAGATGTAGGAAGGAGGAAAGGGTTTAGGGAGAGATGTCAACAGTAGCCAAATGCATGACTTACATCTGCACTGGGAAAGCTTGTGCTGTGTACTGTTACAGCAAGACAGCTTTTCTGTATTTATTTACAGCAAAGCTTAATAATTAATGAGCACTTATTATTATAGCTGCTCCAAAACCATATGGCATTCAGGATATGAACAAATCTTTTGAGACAAAGCACCCACGTGGAAGCTTGTTCTGATTTTGCTGCTTTCTGTCAAGAGCAGAAGGCAAAGGTGTCTTCACAGCATGAAGCATTTACCTACTCATTTAGATGGGCTTCAGTTCTAGGCAGACCCTTAGTTCAATAACATTCACGCAGAGTCTGGCCATCTGTGGAACTGCAGGTGAAGCAAAAGTCACTGTGATCCTGCAGACAAACAGAAGAGACAGCTTGAGTGGGGGCTGCTGCAAGGCCACCATCGGGTGAGCTCTCCTTCGCCAGACCTATAACATAAGGAGATGCGCCCCAGGACTGGATTTAAACATAATGCATCCTCTAAGCTATATTAAGTTCAAGAGACCCCAGAGCATCACCAAAAATATTATTTTAATAGTTATGTAAAATAAGGGGAAATGTACATCTGTTGAGTTTAGAGTCCTTTCATAGCTTGTGCATAAAAGCAGACCTAGGGAGGCCTCCTGAAATGCAAAAATACTCAGATATTGGTCGGGGACAAAAATTATAGCTGAGCTGGAGCCATCCATCTCTGGTAATGACTTCCATCGGTAGATGGTCCTCAACACTCTGCTGGACTGTGGAGGATGCCATGTTGCATAAAATACACAAGTGGCTGTTTGTAAACATTCTCTCTCTTTTTTTGCACAAACCACACAATTTTGTTGAGCAGTTTCCTTTGCGTACAAAACGTTGCACATTTTTTCTGGAGATGATCTGCACAGATGAGAATTGTCTGAGTTTCTCAAAGCTACAGGATTGGGGGGGAAAAAACTGAATTTCCTTCAGGATTTGGAAAAATCAAGATTTACCATTCCTAGTAAGTGTAGAGAGAGAATGCTGGAAGATGTACCTCAACAACATTTTGACGACCACACACCTTCCCGCTAGAATGATATATTTATAATTAAACAGTGTGTATGCTGGTCTTATATATTCCCACAAAGAATTGCTGTAGAAGAAAAGACTAACAGAATAATCTCACAGTGAATGCAGGGAGATTGGGGCCCCATCTATACTGCCATACCATGCTGTTTGAAACTGGTCATCACTGCCCTGTGTCCCTTTGGGGGATAGTATATTAGATTGTGTGATTTTAAATAATGGGTTTTAAGGTTTTATTATGTTTTAATGCTTTTGTTTTTATTATATTTGTTTTGGGCATCTAATGTAAGCCGCCTAAGGAGTTGAGAAGGGCAGGGTATAAATACAGTGCATACACACACACACATACACACATGCAGATACAGTGTGTGTATGTGAGTGTGTATATATATATATAGAGAGAGAGAGAAAGTTATTGTTATTGTTATTTGAAACACAAAAAGATTAGTACACAGCAAACAAGATCACTATGCTGGCTGTTGTATTGATCACACGACGGACACTTCCCAAGTGTCTAGGACTGTGTGATGTATCGATGAATAATGCATGCAGATCCCAGTAGGGTAGCCTTTTGCAGCTGACAGTAATTTTTTCAGTGCCAGTTGTGTTTAAGTGCAGGCCAAGGTCTTTAAGCACTGCACCCAGTGGGCTGATCACCACTGGGATCACCTTGACTGGCTTGTGCCAGAGTCTTTGCAGTCCAATCTTTAAATCTTCATATTGTGTCAGCTTTTCCATTGTTTCTCTTCAATCCTGCTGTTGCCTGGGATTGCAACATCGACGAGCCATACTAGGTTTTTTAACACGATCGTGAGGTCAAGAGTATTGTCCTCCAAAACTCTATCAGTCTGAATTAGAAAGTCCCAGAGTAGTTTGACATGTTCATTTTCTGTAACTTTTTCAGACTTGTGATCCCACCAGTTCTTTGATGCAGGCAGATGGTATTTGTGACACAAGTTCCAATGAATCATCTGAGCAACGGTGTTATGCCTCTGCTTGTAGTCTGTCTGTGCAATCTTCTTGCAGCAGTTGAGGATGTGATCTATTGTTTCATCTGCTTCCTTGCAGAGTCTACACTTGGGATCTGTTGACAACTTTTCAATTTTGGCTTTGATGGCATTGGTTCTAATGGCTTGTTCTTGGGCTGCCAGAATCAGACCCCCTTTCTCCTTTTTCAAAGTTCCATTTGTGAGCCACGTCCATGTTTTTTCTTTGTCAGTTTTGCTCTCAATTTTATAATTATTATTATTGATTCATTATATGGTAATATAGATAGGACCTTGGTTACAGTGTACTTTGAAATGGGATCACTATATTTGCTACACCTCAGATACAATCAATAGCAAAAGGCATTTTGAAACAGATTATGAAACAGGCAGGCACAGACCTTAACCTCAGTCCAGCAGAGTCAAAGTATGGCTTCTGTTTGTTTCTTTTCAGGAATTTGCTGATTCCATCCATCGAATAATTACACAAAAGTTTCAAGAGGTGACGGATAACTGTGCTGCCATCCACATGCGTCACAAATCCCTGGCAGGAATTGTAATGACCAGAGGTAAGCCTCAGCTTTGTGTCATATTGCTTTCCTTTGCAATTCTATAATTTTGTTTTTGATGGGTGCTTTTGAAGGGAGGCAATTTGTTGTTTATACTGGATACTAAGGCAGGAGGCCATGTTTGTCTATTTGAGATACTGGGGATATTTCCATAGACTAACTTTTAAAATATTGTCACACAGCTCTAAGGTTCAATCTGATACAAAAGTTGAAATGCTACATTTGCATGTAAGCTCAAAGCCCCAATGAGGTATGCAACTTCTTCCATGTGGCAGATTTCTCCCATATAACCTGAGTGTTTCATATTTTGATAGGACAGTGTGATGTAAATGTCTTCAACAAAAACATTAAAACTTGGGACAGGGATTTGAATCTCCTAGTCTTGAGAGTCATATTCCAGCGCTCAAACTACTACACAACACTTGCTTCTGTACAAGCTTCTCACATCCTAAATAATTTTGTGACAGCATCCAACTCAATTACATAATTGCCAAGGAAAATACACAGGAGTAACAGAAAACTGTGAGCCCATGTAGTACAGTGTTTTGAGCAATGGATTAGAACTCTGAGAGTTCAAATCCCTTCTTAGACGTGGAGACCTTGCGCAAGTCAGACTCTCTCAACCTCGTTACCTATCGATCTACTCACATTTGCATGTTTTCAAACTGCTAGGTTGCAGAAGCTGGGGCTAGCAGCGGGAGCTCACATCTCTTCTCAGTTTTAAACCACCAACCTTTTGGTCAGCAAGTTTAGCAGTTCTGCGGTTTAACCCACTGTGCCACTGGGGGCTCCTACCCATATTTATAGTTTTACTTATCTACAACTATGTGAAAATGTTTTTTTCTAACAATTTGCTACTTCTATGGGAGGACCTATGGCAATTCTGTGGTACGTGGGTACCATACGTCAGGTGATGTAATGGCATTCAGTTCTATCCAGGGTTTCAGTTAATCGTGTCCCAGCCTGGAACGTATTCCCCTGTGTATAGGAGAGTCTTGCTGTACTTCGTATTTTAAAGGCTTATTGGCAGTGATGATTGTCATAATGCTCCAGAATTACACAAACTTGAGAGCATCCCAGGTGTTTTGTTTCCTGCATGCTGTTTTACTTCAGCTGGAAAAAAAACTGCAAAAACAGCAAATCATGGATCAGACACTGCCTGTCATCTCATATACATATGTTTAGAGTTTGACAGACAATTTTTCAGAAAAGGCAGGAGGTAGCCAATGCATATTCAGAAGGGGCTTGCTAAATTATCTGGAACAAACTGGCATTATGCTGTAGGCTCAGGCTGTGAAATATGTTAACTGCTATGGGCTAAAACTGAGATCACCAGACAGCATTGAATCAATGTAAGGCTAATGAAGGATCTCTCAATCACCTTCACCCACCAACAATATATGGCAAATTATAGAACCCCAAATTTATAAGGACCACAGTAGACGAGTCTCTATGCCAGTGTTTCTCAACCTTCCTAATGCTGCAACCCCTTAATACAGTTCCTCATGTTTTGGTGGCCCCCAACCATAACATTTTTGTTGCTACTTCATAACTGTTATTTTGATATGATTTTGAATCGTAATGTAAGTATCTCATATACAGGATGTATTTTCATTCACTGGACCAAATTTGGCACAAATACCTGATACACCCAAATGTGAATAATGTGGGGTTGGGGGGATTGATTTTGTCATTTGGGAGTTGCTGGGATTTGGAGTTGCTGAGATTTGGAGTTGTAGTTCACCTACATCCAGAGAGCACTGTGGACTCAAAAAATGCTGGATCTAGACCAAACTTGGCATGAATATTCAATATGCCCAAATGTGAACACCAGTGGAGTTTGGGGAAAATAGATCTTGACATTTGGGAGTTGTAGTTGCTAGGATTTATGGTTCAGCTACAATTAAAGAGAATTCTAAACCCCACCAACAATAGAATTGGCCCAAACTTCCCACACAGAACCCCCATGACCAACAGAAAATATTGTGTTTTCTGATGGTCTTTGGTGACCCCTCTGACATCCCTTGTGACCCTCCAGGCATCCCGAACCCTAGGTTGAGAAACGCTGCTCTGTGCTATCAAGGATAATCCTTTTAGCGAGACAACTTCAAAGGCAGAAAATCACTCACCCTAATAGCAGTAAATTATGTAAGTAAAAGCACATCCCTACACATAGAAAGGAGAAAGGTCTCCGCTGCTCCGTCATCATCCCATTGTGCTAGATCACATTTTTTAATTATTTATGTTATCTGTAAACTGTCTTCCATTGCAAACAGTAGTAAAGTGAGCTGAAAGCATAAAATAAGAAAATAAGAAAATAATAGCGATACTTCGTTGTATTGTCAAAGGCTTAACCATAGAATGGAAAGGGAGTATTTAGGGGGAGGGGTGGGGTATGGTATTACAAAACATTAAAGCAGAATTTAATGTAGGGATATTTTTTTTATGTGTGAGTGACAATGAAGTACCACTGGGTTGTTGTGAGTTTTACGGGCTGTATGGCCATGTTCCAAAAGCATTCTCTCCTGACTTTTCGCCTGCATCTATGGCAGAGATTCTCAGAGGTTGTGAGTTTTGTTGGAAACTAGGAAAATGGGGTTTATATATCTCTGGAAAGTCTGGATATATAAGAACTCTTGTCTGTTTGAAATAGGTGTGAATGTTTCAATTCACCACTTTGATTAGCATTTAATGGCCTAGCAGTTTCAAGGCCTGGCTTCTTACTGCCTGGGGAATCCTTTGTTGGGAGGTATTAGCTGTCCCTGATTGTTTCTTGCTAATCACAAAGGATTCCCCCAGACAGTAAGAAGCCAGAACGTGAAACTGCTATGCCATTAAATGCTAATCAAGATGTCCAATTACAACATTCACACCTGCCTGAAACAGACAAGAGTTATTTCTCCCACCCTGGACATTCCACAGATATATAAATCCCATTTTCCTTGTTTCCAACAGACCTCACAACCGCTGAGGATGCCTGCCATAAATGCAGGTGAAACGTCAGGAGAGAATGCTTCTGGAACAATGCCATACAGCCCGGAAAACTCACAACAAACCAGTGGTACTTCATTGTCACTCACACATAAAATAATTCCCAGGTTCCGTCCTGGGCCCGGTCCTGTTCAACATCTTTATTAATGACTTAGATGAAGGGCTAGAAGGCAGGATCATCAAGTTTGCAGACGACACCAAATTGGGAGGGATAGCCAATACTCCAGAAGACAGGAGCAGGATTCAAAACGATCTTGACAGATTAGAGAGATGGGCCAAAACTAACAAAATGAAGTTCAACAGTGACAAATGCAAGATACTCCACTTTGGCAGGAAAAACGAAATGCAAAGATACAGAATGGGGGATGCCTGGCTCGAGAGCAGTACTGTGAAAAAGATCTTGGAGTCCTCGTGGACAACAAGTTAAACTGGGGGGGAAGGTGTAGAGAAGTGTTCATAATACTGTGTTTCAAACTGTGTTTAGGCTTTACATTGTGGCCAGGGCCTAGCTGAGAGAGAGATAGGTTGCCATGGTGACAAGCCAGAGGAGGTGGGGGGAGCTTAGGTAAAAAAGGTTTGAAAGCGACAGTTTATTTTCAGTCAGGCGGATGAGACCCTGAGGAGAGTAGCAGAGTCAAGGAGGCTCTGTGGAGTAGTGTAAATTCAGTTAGTTCTTAGGTTTTGTGAATATTATTCCAGCTAGGAAGCTGAAGGTGGAAACTCGTTAGATTGCTTGAGTAGAAAAGAATCTAACAAGAAAGGGTTTCAGGGATCCCAGTGGTGAAAATCTGGAGATCGTTGGTTTGATCCGGTGAAGGACAAACAGTTGTAAATATTCACAATAGGGAACACTGAAATAATAAAGTACCTCACTGTAGAAAGAGTTAAAGGATTGTAACATCGGAAAGAGCTTAATGTAACTCAACAAAAGCCTATTCTTGTAATCCATCAAGCTCTTGTTGCTAAGTTTCAACAAGTTTAATTTTGCAACAATTTACGCTCTGATAACAATAAACCTGTTCTTTTTGTGTTTTAAACTTGCCTCCTTCACTGATTTTCACGTTTGAAGCATTCCACACTACCCAAGGTGCCTCACAACACAGATAAGGATAACCAGAGATCATTTTACCAATATCACTTATATTATGGTGGCAATTTAAGCTAGAAGTCTCAAATCTTTATTACATCTGTGTGGTGATCCTATTTATTTGGGATTTTACACCATTATTTCATTTTGGAGACTTCCTCACATATTTTGGTGGCAGCAAGTGAACGGTTTTAAATTTTTAGTAACAAGCGGTGGGAGTCACGGCTTCGCAAATTTGGTGGCAGACGACGGGATTCGTGTAACAGCTAATCGAGTGCCTTAAGTTTAATTTTGAAATAAGTTGTGAGGTAAAAGTTGCTGAAAAAATGGCTACCAGGCAGCAGAGAAAGCTAGCTGAGGAAAGAGTAGAGGAAAATTCGAGCTCTGAAACAGATGAGCCAATACCTTTCTCAGAAATGGCTTTTAAGTACAAGTTAGAGATGAAACGATTGCAAATCGAGATGGAAGAGAGACAGAGAGAAGAGAACTGGAGAAAGAGGCAAAACAGAGAGAGTTTGAAGAAAGACAGAGAGTGAGAGAATTGGAACAGGAGTTAGAATTGAAGAGAATGGAGTTTGAGCTAGAGAAACAAAGATTGGCTTTGTCTCGAACAGCCAGTGAAACCCAGGAGGGAAGAGCTGGAGGAAATACCCCAGATTTGATGAAGAAATTCCCAAAATTCAACAAAGACGATGATCCAGAGAAATTCCTAATATCTTTTGAGAGATGTTGTCGAGATTTTGATGTGGCTAAAGAAAGATGGATGACATACCTAAGGCCACAAATAAGTGGGAAACTTTTGCAGATTTATGGACAGATGCCTGAGGAGTCTTATGGAGACTATGATCTGTTTAAGAAGCAGATTCAACAAGAATTTAGATTGACTCCTGAATATTATAGATTTAAGTTCAGGACAATAAAA